AAAGAAACAAATGCATGCAATTTCTGTTCAAGTTCCCGTCAGTCCCAAAGCGTTCTCAGAAAATACCTCCCTCTTATTATTGCTGTAAACTTTCTTACAATCGTCTTGCATTTAAAGTAAAAATCAGCTGACAAAAAGTCACAAAACGACAAAAGTGAAATATACTATGAACATTTGTTTGAGCAGGGATATGTTTAAGAAAATAGAATTGCATGTAGTTCCTATTCAATTACCCATAAGGCCGTATTTCAATTACTCGCAATTACCATAAACTTGACCACAGCGGTAATTCCGTGGAATGAAATACTACATGTAACTACAATTATAAATGGTCCCTTCAGTGGTGTTCCCATGATCGCTCGAATACGGAAAGATTCCGTTTAGGACAGCATCATGCACAAATACCATTTTCTGAACATAAAGCGAGGCTCAAGTAGCCATGCCTATGTCCGCCTGTGGCTGTTTATCCGTTTCCCACCTTTTCTATTGTAGACAAGGGTCATCCATTAGACAAAGGCACGGCGTTTTTCTGTGCAGATTTTCGTACCTTAGGCGAGCACGAAATCTGTTGATTCGATTCCCGGTTCATCCTGAGTGCGTGTCTTTGTGAACACAATACCCATGTTCAGTTCTTTCACAAACACATGAAGTGCTCAAACCAGTATCTAATCAGGCTTCCTCCCCACATCAGGCTGACACACCGTTATATACCAGACCTACGTTTTATAACGGCTACCTACATGGTAGTTCACCCTTTCTGTCGTAGGGGTTCTCAATTAAACCTTTACGTAATTCGTGTTTGAAATAGGTTTTCCAAGACCACAGTATCTGAGTATGACCACCTTGATAGGCAGACATCGCATCAATTGAAAGTCCACCAATACTTGACCAGCATGGCATGATGTATCAACCTTGCTTCGGTCATCGTTTTTCTGTTGGTGGAAAAATGGACTGCGAACCTCCCATTAAGAAGACATTGAAGTGCTCTTGAATAATCATTGACGTCACTGCTTCTCCCGGGAGGACGTCTCGAGTAGGGTTGTTAAAACATGCAGTAAAGAAACAAAAACCTTTGTAAGATGATCAGTTCTCTACGCTTTACTTATGGCATGCCATGGCCCTAGCGTCCACTTCATGTAAGCAGTGGTTTTGTTTTTAACATTTGTCATCAATATGCCAGCAGTATTTTGTCTATTTTGTCCCACGCAGATTTTTTATTGCTTTGGTTGAAACTTTAGGAGCAGAATATTTCAGAACCTCTAACTATTCAATGGACCTATGTGTTTATATACACTTACATTTTTTCTCATATGTAATGAATATCTACGTCATCTGTGCTTTGTATTACAGATGCAGTGTGTTTATTATTTAAATATGAAATTTAAGACGGTTAAATCCTTGAGACACATTCTGTATTGAGAATATGATCGAAGATCGTATTTCTGTTTGTCTCGAGCCTTGGAAAATTCAACATTGTTAGTGGTCGAGAAGCTTCTTGACGTGGGAATGAAATGAAACACTCAGGAACACCTCTCTGGCGAACACCTGGTGACAGGGATCCATTCATAGAATTTTCATCGCGAATTTGTTATTTTTTTTTAGGGGGGGGGGGGGAATAATCGAGACTGGTTAGTCTCTGGCATTGACGCTCTATGTTTACAGTATCACAAGTGTTACTATTTACGTCATCTTGAAGGTGTATAATTGTATCTCTCTCTGACAAGAACATCCCATCAGAAACCTTCAATGGGTCATCACAGGGTAACTGAGTAAGTTGGCTGCTGTATCGGAAATACATCACTGATGAATGAAGCATAAGGACAAATAACCAACTGACACGTGAAACCTTTTGTTTGGCCATGTGGCTGATAAAATACAGATCTTATTCTGTGATTCGAACTCAGCGCGTCTTGGTACAAGAAGGGTACGCAACTCAAATGGGGCAGGGGGTGTCATTTGACCACTAGCGACTAATAGATCATTGGATCTTGTATAGCAATATATATGATACTGCCCTAAAATATCTGTTTTGTTTCTGAAACCAGGATTCTTAAAATCAGGTTCGATAGTTAGGGATTTTTTACTGCAATTTATAGTACGTAAGTTAAGCCGATTTGTCAATGAATTACGATGGGAAATATCAGGTGAGATCGAACATATGTGTCGATTTCAACATGAATCATTGAGATAATCAAAAAACTTGTTCTGTGTTTGACCCAATATACCGCTACTCGGAAAAGATTTTGTAATATGTAACGTTTTTTAACGTGCAGTCCTGCTATTTCCTATGTTGAGAAGGTTAAGTGTATCACGTAGTTAGAACAACCCACTTCGTTATTACGTTTTCCGGAAAGTTTGTGCAATTGATGTATTCCCCAACATGCGAGGATTGCGTGATACACATATATGTGATAATCCATTTCTATTGAACATGTGAAAGTCGGTATCCCTCCACACTGCTAATTTTATAAGGGCATAAACTCTCAAACTAAAATTGTCTTTGAACGCATCGCCAGCAGAGGCGTCAATGGTATTTCCAATTTACAGTTGACGACAGCAAGAGAACACAATGCTATTGGAAAGAAATATCCCCAGTGCAATACAATAAACCTCTACTCGTGTTTTGTTGAAATCTAGTTACCCTGCCAGGATTGACGAGTTGGGGAAATTTCATCAAATTCCTTCTCAGTATTCCATGTAAAAACTTGCCTTGATGTAATCACCAGGTCGGTACCACATGTAAAGTAGGCTTGTCATGGCTGGACAAAAGTTGAAATCAGGTCTCCATATAACGTCTGTTCTTTCCAAAATTAAATTGAATTTCAAATAGTGCAATTTATTCTGAAAATATTTTTAGATCACTTGAAAGATATTAGGGTAATTTCTTTCATAGTAATTTATAAAACATCAAATATCTGAAACACATTTGTTCTTTGCGAGTTGTCTGTGGAGCCTGATGAAGTTTCAACTCTGCATGAGCTGGCTTAACAAAGTAATCTAGCGTCGTGTATAGCATCGCCTTAAAGCCAGGATCGGTAACCTCAAAGCATGGTAGACACGTTGGAGAGACAAGGTACCATATGCTGAGATGGCCTTGGGATACATCGACCGTCAATCTCTGTCCACACATCGATGATATGTCTGTGACTTTCGTAATACGTAACTGCTTTGGATACTCGGAGTTAGCAAGGGGGCAACAAAACAGATACATAATTTGGGAGATGACGTAGAAAAAGACAATACCAACCCTTCTCGTAATAAACTGCAGAATAAATGACAGAAAATTTAAATGTGTACTGAGAAAGGCATAATAAAAACTACAAAAGTAATTTAAGCGCATATAGAAAGTCGAAGAAGTTGCATGCAGGTTAATGTGAATACCGTGAGTAATTGATTCAAGATAGAAAGAATATGGTTTCTTACTGAAGTCGGAGAATACCGACTCAGGGTTTTCATCATCCACCCCTAGGGAACTGAGTTCTCTAAATCAGCCTGTTATAGTGTTCCTCTATCCACGATCTCATTGTCACCCACTGAGCCCCTAACTTGAGCTGAGCAAGATTCTATTCTTCAAATCTAATTATCCTACTCATCGATCTGTTGAGTGGGATGTGTCGACCCTATTTGCAAACGCGGCATGTCGTGCGCATATTCTAGGGAGATTTGTGAGTTACCAAAAAAATCCCAGGTTCTTGACAGACACAAAGGAAACTTAAAAACGTCACAAACAGGTGACAGGGTATCACGCCCTACCGGGCTGTAAAATTAGCGTCCTGCAATAATGGCCTTCGTGTATCAAGGAAACAACATGGGTCCAATTGCCCAAGCCTTTCCGTAGTATCTTCAAGTTGTATATGGTCCGTACACTCCGTACACTGAAGACACCGGGTGTTCGCGAAATAACCTGTCCTACCAATAACCATATTCCAACTCACCAAGAACTTTACGACTTTCTTCATTCACAAATACCATATATATTTTTATGTTTCAAATTCCATTTCCAGACATCCACAACTTGCTTCATTCGTGAGATTCATATGGAGAATTACACTGGTTTTAAACATGTAGAATTGTACTTATCCTCTCCTTCCTATACATGTACAGGGATTCACATCAACTGTAGTAATTTACCTGTGTTTAGCTTTACAGTTATGCGTAGTACTATCTACACGCACAATTATGCGTACTTTTGTTGAGATGCACAATTATGCGTACTTTTGTTGAGATGCACAATTATGCGTACTTTTGTTGAGATGCACAATTATGCGTACTTTTGTTGAGATGCACAATTATGCGTACTTTTGTTGAGATGCACAATTATGCGTACTTTTGTTGAGATGCACAATTATGCGTACTTTTGTTGAGATGCACAATTATGCGTACTTTTGTTGAGATGCACAATTATGAGTACTTTTGTTGAGATGCACAATTAGGTGTACTACTATTACTTGTCTTAGATGTACAATTATGCGTACTACAAGTATAGCTGTTTTAGCTATACAATTCTAGGTACAGCTGTCGGTTTGTGTTTAGATGTGCGTATACTTTAGTTGTACACTATTGCGTGTATCTGTGAGTTTGTGCAGAACCCTGTCAAATCCCCGATCAGCGGATTGACTTGCATTAAATGCTCCCATGAAGTAGAACAATCAATGAATGATAGTAAGAACAGCAATCTCTTCCTGGTAGGATTACAATCTGCTGAGCAATAACTGAGTATATTCTCTAATGACGTCATACCACATGACGTCATATTATATCCTCACGATTGCTACACTGTTAGGAAACAGTTTCCTTAATTTGATCATATGTGTACTTAGAATATATAAATCTAGCATCTACAGGAACTATGACACATGATTCTGACGCCGGATGTTTGAGTCCTCAGACTGAAAAGAGTTCATCGTAAAACTACTGTACGTGATTACGTTAAGTATGTGTTACATGGGGAGTCTCCAGGCATATTTTGTCAACTTTTACAGCCTTCGTTCTATTTGCAGGTTCACTCTAACCTGAAGACGCTCCTTCCACGGTCGCTGAGACGCGGGGGGATGTACAAGTCTGATGTGGTGAGAAGCAACTCCATGTCAACACAGTACACCACAGACAACCGCTCCATCTACACCAAGAACGTCGGCAGCCACGTGGACGACAAGGGGAGCTACATCCCCCTCACCGCCATGAACGAAGAGCAAGCTAATGGCAGGTGTAACGGAAAGCACTGAGACTAGTGATGTGGACTCGGGATGATGATGAGTAGGAGGAGGTTGTGGAGAACGTCCTCAGGAAAGGAGGATTCACGTGTGAGCTACAGAATGTCCTTGAAGGAGTTTAAGCTGGAACGAATAGCTTTGAAATAAACTGTCCATGTAAAAGGAAGACGAAAAGACCGTTGAAACTGAACAGAAGAGTTACGAATTGAACATGATGTTGAAAGATATCGAAATGATTGTTGAAACTGAAAATGGTATATTGAGATAGAAGAGGCATTTTGCTGAAGGAAGCAAAACAGTTGTTAACATAAGTTGACTGGGGAGCTTTCTATTGAACATCGTCTTGTTAAAAGAAGGTGAAATGGAGATTGAAAACGGAAGAGGCTTTTATAATTAACATGGTATTGTTGAAAAAATATTCGTTGAAGCTGAAACTGAAAAGGATATAGACGAGGACCTTGTTGAAAGAATGCAGAATGATTGTTGATGTAGGAGGACAGCTCTGAATTGGATCTTGTTTAACAAAGTGGAAATGGTTGGTGCAGTGACGTACCTTGTTGTAGATGTGTTCATCATACAGGGTGGGAACTACAGGAGGTGTTGAAGGTGTAACGAAACGATGTCAGAGTGGTGATTAAACAGCAACTACGAAGGGAGGATTATAGGATTTGACCACAGTTATTCACGTCAAATACAGACTTCAGTCTACCGTGGGTGAGATCAAGGATCGATAGATCGATAGATATTGTGATGGTTATGATTGGTTTGCATATGTCAACACGTGTCTGCCCCAGGTATTTACAATTAGGACGGAATTGTGTTTGTTGAATATATTTTTACCTAGTGCTATTTATAGTAAATATTTTCCTATTTTCCACAGACATAGCTAGGCTGAAGCCAGTGTGTACTTTGAACATCTGAAAAAGAGACCAAATGATTGGGAACCGTCCCCATGACCGATGTGAGTTTCCCTGATGTCAAGTACGTATTGAATGGATGATTTTCCTCCTGCTCAGCTGTTTCATGACGGTGAGCCTACAAACGTGTGTAGATACAGTTACCAATGGTTTGTCAACAAGGATTATACTTTCAAGTTGGCTGCAAGCATTGAGTGCTACCTGTGTAGCGTCTCGTCGTAGGCAAGGCAGTGCTTTCACAGACATAGAATAACATGCCTGAAGACAATGATGGTGATGCGGACCTGTGATCACAAGCAACGAATCAACCACGAACATTGTAGGTGAAGATGGAGTCGACGTTGTTGTCATGTCTAGCTTGGTTTACGTCAACGATGTCGTTCACATGTTCTGTGAATATTTTTAACCAGGGTCACGGTGTTGAGATGAACGCATTGGGTTTTTTGTATAAAGAAGCCGTCACTACATGTACAGCTTACGATAGATGTGATCATTTATACACTCGTTATGTTGAATCATGTCGGTTATTACAACAATTAACATTTTATTTTCCTTTGAGGTTTTCAAAAGACTTTCAGCCAGGAGGAGTCATTACGAACTGGAACAAAGGTCTTTAATGTATTCAGTGCCAGCCCATGAAACCAGGGAGTGTTTCACCAAATCACTCACTCATCCAAAACCAGTAAATACTCCAAAACTATGTATATATTGTTATCTTTTATATTCGAATCGAGTTTTATACATTAAAGCTGAAAACAAACGACTCTTTTTGTTTTGAGCAGTAGTGTAATTGTAACATACGTGTCTCGGTACAGAATCTCATGTTTGTACTTGTAACATACATGTCTCGGTACAGAATCTCATGTTTTGTGATAGACTATTTTTTCGGGTGCATGTTTGTTGTTCAGAGTTCAAAGAGATGTTTATACAGAGGCTATATTTTGGAGGTTGACAGGGAGTGGGCGAATGTAGTGACAGGTATGAAGATTACTTCTGATACACCTTCCAGGTGAATTTCGTTGCTCATTTCCCTGTATAATAATGGTAAGTCCTATATAATGTTCCATCGCAATAAGTATGATCCCACATGGAAGTTCTCGTCTACAAGTATTGATTGGGACAAAACACGTCCAAATAGATGAGGCAAAATGTCCATTTGATTAATGTATGAAACTATTTAGCTTCTTGTATTCTGCAGATCATAGTGACCTCCGCGTGACCTCATAGTGATCTGAAGGAGGCAACTATTAAGTTCGGTACAAACACCAAACATGGAAAGCTGATTCGACTTTGTAGCTTTAGAAATTGTTGTATATTTTCAGAAATAGTTTTGGTCTCAAGTCTCTTACATCCTACCCACAGTGTATGTCAGTGGTCTCAAACTCTTTACTTTACTGTAACGTGGACTGATACCACTGGCTTTACTGTAACATGGACTGATACCACTGGCTGAAGACGCTGACCATTATTCACTGTACATAGTTGCGTGCTTTGGCGATTCCAGGATCTGCTCGTTATGGGTTCGAGTTCTTGCTTGTGACTTTCCACAAATTTGTCCCTGTGTCACTTTGGCGTGTTTCTTCAATCCATGATGTAACTGAAAAACTCTAAACGCTTCTGAATCATCTAGACTACAGTGAGTCCTATTGTTAATTATTGTGTTAAGTTAACATTGTTGAACCGAGCCCAGAAGCTTTGGTAGATTTTGGTGGGATTATATTAGTTTTGTTTTGTTTAGCAAGACGACAATCAATATCATATGTATATCATAGATGGTGTTTCGCTCATCATAGTTTCAATCATCAGTAAGCAAGCATATGATAGACAAAGTTCAACGAGGACTGTTAATTGAGACAGCACGGCCCTTGTTGACCTTTGTCCATTCGTTTAGGAATAATTTATACAGTGTGTGTCGTTTCCATTTCACCAAAGAGTGGTGACATTTTCAAATGTTCTGTAACATTGAAGTGGCTGAAGTTCTGGTGTTGGGGTGACTTCTCTTGAAGTTGTAGTTTTGGGGTGACTTTCATGAAGTTGTAGTTTTGGGAGCGACGTTCCTGAACTTGTAGTTGTTTTGGGGGGACGTTCCTGAACTCGTGGCTTTCGGATGACGTTCCTGAAGGTGTGGTTAGGGATGACGTTCCTGAGGACATCGTAGCTGACATAGGTGGCGACATCGGTGCTGACATGAGTGTTACTGCGTCAGCCAGCTGTAGAGTGGACCACTTGATATGGGTTCATATTTTATGTAGTTAATGAAAAATGGTCCAGATAGGTCTGTTATGACCAAGATGTCCATTATTACGTCATGATGACAGTATCTTTCAGTCAGTCACTTTGAAAGTCAGATTTTGATTAAGTCATTATTGTTAATGATGTTCAAATAGACTTCCATGTCATGTTACATGACCAGTATGAGTTGTTCAGCCAAGCAACTCCTTATAGTCAGCTATGTCTCAACCATGTCCAAATCCCACTGTTGTAGGAGGACGCTGCTTTTGAAGCAGCATATTAACAGTCGCTATTGTTGACAATTATTTGTCAATCATGTTAATGTCACCTCTTTCATCTACCATGTTCAAAGTCAACCATATCTGCAGCATAGTTTATGACCGGTATGGTGATTGTTCAAATCGTAGAAAATCAGGTCAATAATGTTCGAGAAACCATAGACAATCATATTGGAATTATATTCAAATGCAGTCATACTGGCATATATTCAAAGATACATATCTCATCAGTATGGCATGAAGTTATTCCAAGACAATCGATGTTTTGTCTTCAAAGTCAACCATACCGCCATCATCGTCAGTCTCGTAGTGATACCATTACCCACATTGTGGCGTATTTGATTTTTTACCGTTGTATCGAAGTAACTGTCTCGCGTTCTCTCGAAGTTACAGAGAAATTACGATAATACGAGCTTCGAAATGAATGGCCTTTACTATATTTCTATGCTGGTACCGTTAGTCCTCTTCGAGATAAACAATGTTTCTAGTTACGGATGTACGAGAATATAGTGTATGACCACGAACGTCACTGCAGTAGGTGCTACCAAGACAATGGTGTTCTTCGAATGTATGTGAATATATCTTGTTTCATGAATCTCTTTCTTCCATTTCCTTACCATTCCATTTCGTCTCAGGTGCCGCTATGCGCAGTTGCGTCCCTTTGGCTTACCAGAATCGTGTGATAATTAGTTCGAATGTCGGTCCATCTCGACCGTGTTGTTAGGTTTGTCAACAGCATACCCGTGCTCATGTGTTTCAAAGACAGATGATAATTTGTTTAAATCTACATCACTTTAATCTGGTACGTGTCATGGAACTGGAAAACTGTTCACAGCCAACTCACTCACTCACTCTCACTCACTCTCTCCATTCCAGTTCATGTTAAACGTATGCTGAAATATGCCTCAGTGATTCTGCCAGTTTTTGAAAGTGATTATTATGTGTTAACTATCATAACAATTATCATACGACAATTTAACACTGTGAGGTATTGGTCAGACCACCGGCAATGTTGAGAGGCACTAGCGTCGGTTATGTCATGGCTGCAGATCACGTGACTGATATGGACAGGTGTGACACAACTTCCAGTGTCACAGCTGACACGCTGTACAAATACTATAAACCAAATACTGTCCCCAATCAGGACGTGTAACCGAGACAGTACATCCCTGATTGGGGATACGTACACAAGGCACGCTTTATTTAATTTCATCACAAGCGAGATTTCATTCTCCGCTGTCCACTCCACACGTGGGAACATGCATGTGTACATATGTAGATATTGTACAGAGACCTCAACAAGAAGGGACCAACAGGTCCTACAGCTTATACCGTTCATCTGAAGACTATTGAAGATTGTGTTATATTAGTGGCAAAACAAGTATTTTGTTGAAGTGACACAAGTGTGCGTGTGTAATAAACTAATTTGAATATTGACAAATTGTTTTCTTTAGGGATAATTGTACGTACGCACTTTAAGTGCAGAGTTACTAATACGCTGAGTTATCATATACGTACGATCTCTCCGATGGGACACCCTGTTTGTGTATCAAGACGTGATGGGATATGCATGGAAATATAACAAAATATCCCTATCAATATCCCTATCGCTAACACTATATCTATCACTATCACTATCACTATCACTATATCTATCACTATCACTATCACTATCACTATCACTATATCTATCACTATCACTATCACTATATCATCTATCACTATCACTATCACTATCACTATATCTATCACTATCACTATCACTATATCTATCACTATCACTATCACTATCACTATATCTATCACTATCACTATCACTATAATAACACTATCACTATCACTATTACTAACACTATCACTAACACTATCACTATCATTAACACTATCACTAACACTATCACTAACACTATCACTATCACTATCACTATTACTAACACTAACACTATCACTACTAACACTATCACTACTTCACTAACACTATCACTAACACTCTCTATCCCTATCACTATCACTATCACTATCACTAACACTATCCCTATTACTAACTATTACTATCTCTATCCCTATCCCTATCACTAACTATCCCACTATCCCTATCACTAACACTACCCCTATCACTATCCCTATCATTATCACTAAACACTATCCCTATCACTATTACTCACTATCTCTATCCCTACTATCACTATCACTCTATCACTATCACTAACACACTATCACTATCACTACACTAACACTATCACACTAACACTATCACTATCACTAACACTACCCCCTATCCCTATCACTAATACTATCACTATTACTAACACCACTATCACTATCACTAACACTATCCCTACACTACAACACTATCCCTATCACTAACACTAACACTAACACTATCACTAACACTATCACTATTACTAACAATATCCCTGTCACTATCCCTATCACTTACACTAACACTATCACTAACACTATCCCTAGCACTAGCACTATCAATATCACTAGCACTAGCACAAGCACAAATACTAGCACTACCCCTATCACTACCCCTATCACTATCGATACCACTAGCACAAGCACTAGCACTACCCCTATCACTATCACTATCCATATCACTAACACTCACTATCACTATCACTACCCCTATCACTATCACTATCCCTATCACTAACACTCACTATCACTATCCCTGTTACTATCCCTCTCCCTATTCCTATCACTATCACTAACACTATCACTATCACTATCACTACCCCTGTTACTATCCCTGTCCCTATTCCTATCACTGTCCATATCCCTATCCCAAGTGGAATGAAAGAATATATATATAGGGATTTATACGAAGGTACTCAATACAGCTATATATATCTTACTACACTTTGGATATTGACATTTTGTTTTCTGTCCAGACACATACAATGGAAGTAAAGTGAATGTATATGTGTATTTGACACATCTGATTTTCCCTTTCCGAAGTTGAATAGTATATTTGGAACATCGCCATGATGATCAGCTGATGTTACAACATGATGTCGGACAAGGCTTCGGCCTGACAACAAGTCTATATCCGTTTCGTCACTATCCAGAATTGGTCTGGTTTAATAATTGGCCACCTCGCATTACAAGGGTACTGACGTGCGGTGTCGGGCCAGTATAATATTTCCAAGTGTTGTGTATGGCAGGGACTTCCTGTAGGGGTTTACCCTTCACACGAACACCTGGTGTCATCACTGATTTTCAGTTATCCAGTCATGTAATTTTCAAAGCTTTTTGGACTATTTTCACAGGAATGTTTTTCTGAGGATAGTTATATTCGCTAATTTGTTTTGCACTGGCGATAACATATTGTATCTAGTCATACTCATTTAAAACCTTTTTAATAAAATTCTGAAAATTCTGAAAATAAAATATCTTTGTCTACTGTGCCATATAAGGGAAATATTCAACTGAGGTCATATTTCATAAGACGCTTGTCCTCGTAAACCACGTGACAATTTCTTGACAGTAAAGCTGTATTTGTCCGATTGCAAGATCGATCAGCAGGTATCGATTTGTGAAACATGGCTGAAGAGAATTATGTAACCCTACTGACATGTTTGTTCGGTCGATGATTGCGGGAATCAAAATAGCAGTTCGCGGTCATACTTCAACTCTAAGTATGACATTGTACGAACAACACGCCTTGGGTCGCAACAGCTTTCGACCATCTTCTCGCCTCTTCCTTGTTCCATCCTAAAGAGGGAGGAAGGGAGAGGCCCAGCTAACAAGTGCACGTTGTCACAACGTTATGCTTTCGTTGTTACATTATTCTGTGGACTCCCTATTTACGCTGTCACAACGTTGTGGCCTGACGTTGTGATACGTCATTCTTACGTCGCCACACGGTTAAAGTTAATTGATGCTAGCCTATTTTAAATTGTCTTAACGTTCCATTTAACGTTAATAGTTTCATAGTTTCCCAGTAGAGAAAAGTACATAAGAAACAAAGCAGAGATTCACATCAATGTTTATTCGTCAATTTGCATGTTGTTTTTGGTCGTGTCTTTTCTGAAGCTGTAGCTGAATAGTGAAGAAAGAATCTCAAAGTGAAACGTTTTACACAACTCTATCGTGACACCAAGTTATAACAAACGTTGTTATTACGCTGTGACATAAAGTTATAAAATGACGTAACACTAATGTGACTACGTTGTGTCATGACGTTACCAATCTACAACCGAAAACGGTCAGTGTTAGCTGGGTGTATCTGTATCCCCATTAGCCACCGATACATCAAAGTATGAGGTCACCTGTCAGAGCTGGCTCACATTTTAGTCCTAACTGAGAACCTATGTAACAATAGTTGGTACAAATAAGGTATATTTTGTTATATTTCCATGATGAATGGCAGTATTGCACAACTACACCTGACTCTGAGTTCGCCAAATCTCTAGCATTACCTTTGTGTTATAGAGCTGCTGACATTGTTAAAGCGTATGTTCTACCCGGGTCATTGTCACCGAGGTGGTGTGTCATTATATGAACCAGAATACCTTGGTATTAAATGGTTTGAACGAAGATAAAGTCAGATGTTTCAAAGGTGGTGAAGTCAATAGGTATTGAATACTTCACAAATGTCCCCTATTTTCTCCTTTTGTATCAAAGAGAAAGTGACATTTTACTAGACCTAATAACTTTGGTCACAGGGCGATGTCTACCACTTTTTCGTGGACTGTTTTCTTTATCTTGGACGTCGGGATATATGTGTTGCTCATCTGTGATAGAGGATGGCGCTTGTGTGGCCTGTGAGAGTTCTATGTATATACTGAACAGACATTGCTCTACTCCGTCAGGTGTCGCTAGGGTCAACCATTTATTGCTATGTTGTTACGTGTTCATAATGTAAATTCAATCATCCTTCCAAAGTTGGAAACTGTGTCCAACCCATAGTTTATAAAATCCGATGTTTGAATGACCTCCAGTCTCCGCTTAACAGACAAAGGACAGTCCATTTCGGGACCTGTGAACTGTGGATTATCACAGAAAAGATTTGCAAAATCTTCTTCGAATTAGACTTAAAAGTTTGTTAATTTCCACTTTTGGGTGTTTGGGGTTCCACAAACAAAATGTATTATGTTGCTTGCCTTAAACAAAGCCGTGACATTGCTATTCGCTGCGTAAAACTCACCCACTCACTGTTTGTCAAAACCTGTGTCACAATGACTGGTTTTTTTATCTGATTTTTAACATGAATTTGAATTTTGGTTTAAGAGCACATCTCCTACATTTTGAAAAATCTGCCCTTGTCTCTCATTATAGCCTTCGGACGTAGTTGATAATGCCAGATTGTTCATATCCTACCTCGTTATTTGTGATATCCTCAAGTTTGCCCAGGCCCCCTTCCACAAATGAGATGTAATGACATGGCGAAGTTAAATGTGTTCCTCAATTCGTATTACTTTATACTGTTTCGTTTTGTGGAACGGATTCGTCGTCTTATCCCCACCAAAATATTTTGTTTCTGCCAGGGGTGTCATAGTTTAATTCATGTTATATTTCATGGCGCCATGGTAACCATCACTGATTTGTGAAGGTGGCATGTGGTAATCGTGGCGCTGTTCTGCCTTTATCTACCGGCTGTATCTTGTATCACACTCCTGGCTGTTGCTCCTCTTGTTAAACAATGTGTGTTTGAAGACAGTTACATTGTATAGCTATTTCTGCTTCAGGTGTCATGTCATGATTTATTTGTCTAGAGAATGTGAACTTGCCACTGTATCAGCTGTTCGTTTAGTCGGTTGTGAATATAAAGATGAATTTATATTTTTCTTGTTTGTCCTGATTCATGAATCCATATATGTTTGTGTGCTTCTTAACACAAGTACAAATATGGTTATAGAAATATAATTGATACACAGTGTTATTCACTAAAACACATGCGTTAAAACATTACATAGTAACCAACAAAAATTCGACACATGCAGAGTCATGATATGTGATAGGACTGAGTGATAAACGACAGATATACAGCTGTTTGTACAATGGGCGGCGTAATGAGTTCGAGTTGTCGAAGGATACATGTGAACAAACAGTCGACATAGACGACAGGTACGAGCAGCTACTGGGTGTGTGTGATACAGATGGAACTGACCATACAATTACCATAACAAGCCAGAACTGACCATCCAGTAAGAAATATCATTACAAGCAAGAACTGACCATTCTGAATGAGAAGCATCATATACTAAGCCAGAACTGACCATTCAATAAGAAGTATCATATACTAAGCCAGAACTGACCATCCAATGAGAAGTATCATATACTAAGCCAGAACTGACCATCCAATGAGAAGTATCATATACTAAGCCAGAACTGACCATTCAATAAGAAGTATTATATACTAAGCCAGAACTGACCATCCAATAAGAAGTATCATATACTAAGCCAGAACTGACCATCTAATAAGAA